GTTGCAGTAGTATAGATTTAGTCTGGCAAGATTCTGTCTATATGATGTAAGCAAATAAAGGATCTGAACTCAACTGGATAGTTTCACTGTTGTTTCTTGGGCAGGGCTGACACTCTCTGCCCTAACAGTAGATTGAAATTATCCTCTTAGGACGTTATGCTAGTTGATATATTTCTGAGTTTGCCATAGTGTGATCTGTACAAGGGGGTCCTGTAATAAAATGTAGCAAGTTGTTGTTCCTGTTCATCAGTCATGTTCCAGAGTACTCCATTCTATTTTCCTGACCATTTTCAGTCCCATAACAGGCAGTCAAGATTCTGCAACCATAGAAAGTATTCAGTCCTAATTGTCCTGTTTCACATTCCACTCCCCTTTAGTGTTTTTCCCTAAGGTCTGGATTTCTTATTGTTCCTCCATGGGAAACAATCATCCTCAAAGCTCAGCACAAATTTTTCATAATGGTCAATTGGCAAATGGATTTTGCCACCATCTGAAGAATCATATGGATGGAATGTGAAAAATAGCTTGAGATAAGTCCCCATTCCCTTCACAATATTATACTGCAGACTCCTCCACTGAAGTGAAATGTGGGAAGAAACATGACTGATAAAGGCAATACTTGTTTCAACTATGATATTCATTACCACTAGATATGATGATGGCCACCAATGTAAGTGCGTTTTAAAAGGAGGAATAGCTAATTTACGGAGCTATCAGTAGTTATCAGTAACTACTAATTTTGTTGGCACCATATTGTCTCTAGAAACTCTTAAAATACCCAGCTGCTAAAGAGCAACAGTTGAAGAGGGCTGTCTTCCTGTTGTCATATTTGAGAGCTTCCCGGATACACCAGGTTAGTTATTGTGTGACACAGAATGCTGGAATAAAAAGGTCTTTGGCTTGTTCCAAAAAGTCTTATTATATGTTCTTAGCATGTTTCTAATTTCATAATTATCAAGATTAGAAACATGTTAGGGTGCCACATTTTATTAACTTTTGGCATTATAATATCTTCAAGCTTGCTCTTCACACTGACTTTGGGGAAGAGGCCATTGTGGAGTTTCAGATGATATAAATCCAAATCCACTAAGAATGCTATAGTTGATTAAAATGGTATATTACTTGCTAATTTATTTTCACTGTTTCATAGTTTTCAAATATGTGCCTCATTTTTAACATTTGGTTTCAAACAAAGCAGCATGAACAAATAGCAAGATTTCTTTCTTCAATGGATGAAAATTTCAGTTTAGCAAAGTTTACTTAGTGGGATTTGGGTGCATAGTGCATTTTAATGGAAAAGGATAAGGGAATATCTTTCAACAGAGCCTATGCTTAGCTGTTACTCTAAAACTTGTAAGAGGTTGGTTTTAAAAAGGGTCACAAGTTATAAAGAGGAGTTGTATGATCTAGATGGTTTCTCTTTTTCAGATTCTTGATAATCATTCCAATACTGTGATGAAACCACTGTGGCCAGAAATTCAACAAGAGCTGAAAATTGTTGAGTCTGAAGAGGAGTTTTCATTTGTTGGAAGTGCTCTGAAGACAGACCAGCAACAACAGGAGTTTAAATCTAGCCTTACGTCTATTGCGTCTTCAGAAACAAAGGGTTTAGCATGTAATTCTCTTCTGCTACCAACCCCCACCAAAGAGGAAAGCCTGATCGGAGGTCCATTGGCTACAGCTGACGTTCTCTCCAAAGAATCAAAAGATGTACAAGTTTGCAACTCTGAGCCATTCAGAAAGCAGAGTAGTGTTTCCTTCACCTCACTGAAGCTGCAAAATATTCCATGTTCAAAAAATTTTCTACAAGACGATGACACCAAAAATGATCTCACATCTCAGCCCCAAAACTGGAAGTTTCCATCAGAACTACAAGAAAACACAGCTTTATCAAGAGAGAATTCATCATATTCCAAAGAAAATATTTTAGAACAGCCAGAATGTGAAAGTAACAGTTGGCTTCTTCAAAAGGAGAAAGAAGTTGAAACAACAACCCAGTTAGAAAAAAGCAGTAACACGGATTCAGAGAGAGAAGACCTGGCCAATTCAAAGATTATACGTGGAGTTGGAGTTCCATGGGTCAAAGAGGGCAGAATGAATGATCACATTCAAAACTCTCTTGATCAACAGGAGGAAGATACATGGAGTGACCATGTCCAGAGTTTAGAACTGCTAGAACCATGGGAAGATCATCAGTGGGTCACGAGCCCCCTTCATTCTCCTACTTTGAAAGAAACTCAAGGAAAAGCACTTCAGGAGTTTCAGCCACAGAACCAAGGTATGGCCCACAGCCATTCTAAGAAACCATGTTTCAGTCGCAGTTTTTCTTTAGATAGTAAAGATTTTTTGAAGAGGCATTGGGCTATAGAAGTACCTTTTATAAATGCAGATGAGGAACAGCTTTGTGGTGACCTACAACCAGGAGTGAAGGAATATTCACAAGGACAGTGGAAAGAAAATCTCAAAGCTGAAGCCTGGCTGAATCGTTCAGAGAGAACTTCAAATTCACATGAAACAAGCATGAAATATCTAAGTCATGAAGCTGACTTTGAAGCAGCGGAGTTGCCCTCCAGCCATGAAGGATTGTATAGTGTTGCATCAGTTGAGAAGGAAGTGCTTAAAGATGAAGAAAGCCAAGAAAACATGAAATTAGATTCTCCTTTGTCACAATTTAATACTGGGTGCAGTTTATTAAATTCAAGCTGCACAGAAAAGCATGTATCTACTGTTCAGCAGAATGACAGACCTGAAGCTCCTGTCATGAAAGAACCATGTTCTGCTAAAGAGTTGCAGATCAATAAAGGTGAAGACATTCCATGTAAAGGAAAGCCAAGGCCCTCTTCTCTCAATCTGGATTCTGTCCTTCCACTTGCCAGCCTTTTTAATTTTGACGGCCTGTCTTTCCCCACTCCACCCAGGCACTTTCTCTGTGGGCAGAAAGAAGTTAAGTCCAGTGATTCTGCGCCATCCCTTCCTGTTGCTTGTCCAAGTGAAAATAAAGCTGACCTTTGGGGTTCACACTTTGATCCACAAGACTTAGACTTAGAATACATAATGATGGCTCATGCTACCACTGGTCGTCGTAATTCTGCTCCTGTAAGTGTTTCAGCAGTGAGAACATCTTTCATGGTCAAGATGTGTCAGGCTCGAGCTGTGCCAGTTATTCCACCAAAGATTCAATATACCCAAGTTCCCCAGCCTTTGCAGGCACAAAACCCCAACTGTAGAATCTCATTGGCATCAGAGAATAAAGAAACAGAAGTCAAGAAAAGTCAAATCAAGCCAATTCAAAAGGCTCAAGGTCAGCTGCAACTTCCAAAGATTCCACCACTTGATGGAATGGGAAAAGAAAATAACAGTACAGTCGTTATGGATTCAGCTGCAGCTAGAAAAGCAGAACCAGCTTTTTCCAATCATAACACCACCCAGGATGCACCAGTTCTTCGGCGAAAGAGAACCTCTGAAGGAGAAACAACTGGAGATAATCCACAGTCCTCAAAAATGGAGAGGCCATCTGGGGCTTTGAAACCTTCTTACAGATCTAGACCAGGAAGACCTCAGAGCCTTATTCTATTTAGTCCTCCCTTTCCTATCATGGACCATCCCTCTTCCTCTGCAGACTCTAGGGTGTTGTTGTCTCCCATAAGAAGCCCTACACAGACCCCTTCTCCAAGTCCAATTTCCAGTGATTTGTTAGGGGCAGCCTCAGAGGGTGTCACTCTTCGGAACAAGATGACTATTCCAAAGAATGGCCAAAGACTAGAGACGTCTACAAGTTGTTTTTACCAACCACAGAGGAGATCTGTAATTCTGGATGGAAGAAGTGGGCGTCAGATAGAATAATGCCTTTTCATACCTTTCATTTCTCTTCCCTGGTGGATGAGATAGTGGTAATATTGAGAACTATGAATATGATGGTGTTATTGTTAAATGCATACTACTAAAAAAGTAATTACTTGCTGGTTTCAACAATCCTTAATTTTATAGTTTGTCACATTTAATAGATGAAATTATCCCACAGGTGAAAGCAAAATTTTGCTGCAAGGAAAGGCAGAGATAAAACTTGTCTAGAAGTGCATTCCTTTATAAGACACTCTCATGCTTCAGCTTCCCACCAACAGTCACGAATCATCTCAGCAACTTATCCTCAGCTACTGTTCCTTTCCATGTTCTTGCTTATTGCCTCCCTATAATGTTGATTTGCCATTTAGTTGGGATTTTAGTCCAAGTATGTATTAAGACCAGCAGGCCTGCTCCATGTATCTATGTACAGACCTACAAGGAGCATTGTCATAAAAATAATGTGCATATCGGGCAGTCAAATAAGTGGTTAGAGAGTAATGTTGATGTGTTTGAGTGAAACCTATTTTGATAAGCTATTATTACTAAAAAAAACACCAATTATATCTTACATTTCTCTATAAGTTTTGGTGGACTTTAATATTGATTATAGAAGATTGTACAAATAGTCATACTGTATAAGATATCTGCTTTGTCAGCGATCGGAAAAACTAGTGATGTAATAGCAGGGATTGAACCAACTCCAAATCATTTTCAAACTCCTCTAGAAGCCCTCTTTTGCTAATCTCTGTGGCAGTGTCACTTTTGGTAGCTGCCAAATGGAGTGATAGGGCAGTCATAATAAGCTGCAATCCATTTATTGTAATGTTATAGTGTACTGATGTTTATTGAAGACATTACAGTAAGATTTTCTCTCCTCCAGTCCCGGGGTGGCTGCTTTGCAAATGAGATTGAATTTAAGTTTGCATTATCAGGTCAGTAAGTGGCATAAAGTAAATTTCAATTAGCAAATTAATTCCAGCCCAAATGTGTGGTTACAAGTCACTAAACCAGAATTAGAGGCCTGAAGATCTTTTAAGAGTGACTTAAATGTGTTACATTTCATTTTCTCATTGATTCGCAGCATTATAGCTTAGAGCCACATTTTCATAAAATACAGTTGAACTATAGCTAGGACAGAAGATATATAGACAAGTCACAATGTTGTGAATGTTGGTATCCATATAAGATGTTGAAGTAGCATGTACTGTAATTTCACTAACATATCCTTTGATACATGTACTTCTACCTAGAATTCCAACTTTGACTTTCAGAATAAGTTGCTTCACACTTATGAGGATCTTACTGGATGTTCCAAAACTCATGAAGTCTATTATGAATCCTTGTTTTTTGCTTTGCAATAAAATATATGTAAGACAGTTTGAAATACTAGAGAAAGAGTACAGGCAGTTCTAAAATATTTTGCTTCTGCTCTGTTTATAACAGAGGAAAGAGTGACAGCCTTTGTTTTGCACATGGTTATTAGCATAAAACCATATTCCTGAGTTAATCAGAGAGAAATTCAGCTGAAGACAACTGGGATGCTATGCATTTTTAAGATTCATTTAGAGAATAAATCAGTTTCTCCATTTGGGGAACTATGGGACAAGAGGATCTGCTTTTTGCATCCTTGGGTTTGGTCATGGCTCAGTATGCCACTTGTAAGAGCTGGAAAAGAAGGGAAAGGAAAAGCAAAGGGTGGATTATTTTTCCTGTCCTGTAATGCCTAAGGAAAGAAGGAGGAGCATTATGGGCTGTCATTTTTGGTGAAAGAAAGAATAGGCTAGTAGAAGAGTGAAACAGAGTCCTGAATTAGAAGGAAAGTTGTTCGTACATTATATCATTCCTGGGATAACAAAGAGAATTCACTTGTCATTGAATGGTATCTAAAGAGGAAGAAAGATTTGCAGAAGTCACCTATGGAAGGGTTTGTTCTTTTGCCTAAGTAAAACCTAGGATTTGCTTTAAGCATGGTATATTGACTGTTTTTCTATGAACAAAGGCATTTTCTAAAACAGTATTCCAGTATGTTAGGACTGGTTGCACATACAGTTTATATGTGGAAGGAGCAGAAAGTGAGTATTTCTCAAAGTGCTGGCTTAAAAAAAGATTCAGTCCAAATCTTATAGCTAGCCTTTCTTTCCTTCAGATTCTAAAATAGCTGTACTAATTAATGTTGTAATTAAAAAAAAAAATCCCTTCTCACCCCTATAGGTGGTATGTATTTTCCTCAATCGTGGGTCCTCTACCAGAGGCTTGGGAGTTTGAGGGCTCCTCACAGTACCTTAGCTGTTCCTAGCACTGCACTCTTCTGGACAGAGAGCTCTGATGTTGTTCCTGGGATCTGTTGAAGCCATTCTCCCAGCTTAGGAGTACAGCCCCCAGCGCTCCTACCACCACTGGGACCACTTTAGCCTTTACTTT